GAGAAAGGATCCTTAGACTGAGGAACCCCTATACAAGGGCCCGAGGGTAAGAACAATGGCCATGGCTCTGCCCACCCTCCTCGGGAACCCCCCTACCCCTCCCCCCTCTCCCCTCCCATGGCCCGTTCCTGTATCAGAATCCCTCCTGCAACCCAGAGCTTCCCTGACCCAGCACAGAGTCCCAGGATGGTCCAGGAGGCAAAAAGAGGGGTTTGAAACTGACAAGGCAGCAGCCCCTTCCTATATCCTGTAGGCCAGTGACTGAGTGACTTCCTGGCCCTGCCCAGGAGTGATTGTGCCTATCTGTGCTACGTTGGACCATTAAGCATTCCCCACCACCATCCCCTCCCTTTGCCAGGACCCCTCACTCCTATCCCTGCCCATCCCAGGCCTGGTGGGTGACTGCAAAGGGTGAGGGAATGACATGCACTTATCTGGCTGGAAGGAAGGGGTCTTTGCTACCCTCCTCCTGACCTAGGATGAAATGTGCTGACGGCTTGGGCCTCTGAGCACTAGCCAGTCAGCATTCACGGGAGCTGCTCCCTTGAGCAGGCCCCTCCTGCACCCCAGCTCTTCCTCCCCTCCCCTCCCTCCACCTCCACCAGCATGAATGCCCCCTTCTCCCAACCGATGGAAAGTCATTTATTCTTTGTGTACCTCTCTGAGTACATTTTACCTGGAAAAAACCTAGGGGTCTCAGGCCATTTTACAGATCAGGAAACAGGTCTGGAGAGGGAAGAGACCCATGCAAGTTTCCCCAGTTCCCCTTGGGCCCAGGGTGGTGAGATCCCAAGTCCACCCTCTTCAGCTTTCTCAGTCACACATACAGGAAGACAGCTGAGCTGCAGGCTCACCCTCAACCTGCCCCTCCCCAGCCCTGCTCAGCACCCTGCACATGCCTGGCCCCCAGGGGTCAGGCACAGCCAGCCCAGACAGTTCCCCATGAGGGGAAAAGTAGGCTGTGCTCAGGCCCAGTCCTTGCTGCTCCTTCTTCCCTTGCCAGTGCCTGCAGCCTGGGCTCATAGCCCCGGCCCAAGCACAGGGCCTGCCTCTAGGCAGCCTCCTGGGCCACAGCCCCTTGGGTGTCCACACCCCAGCTGCTGTCCCTAAAAGCCACTTAGGCTGAAGCGGCAAGGCTGCTCCCCCATCCCCTGGATGATGCTGCCATAGGCTGCTGCCTGGCTAGCCACCTCCATCTGTCTGTCTGTCTCTCCAGAGGCTGCCTGTCTGGCCTGTGACTGGCCTCCCTGAACCCAACCTGGTACTGCTGTCCCCGGAGGCAGTGAGGGTGGGTATGGACAGTGGGGTCCACCACATGCCACCCCAGGTGGGGTTTAGGGGTCACCCTATAGCAACCAGGACCACCCAGGACCTGCCATGCTATAGCTTTGAGGCCATACCAGAGACGAGGGAGGTGGCTGGAGGGGAGACCCCCAGACCAAGGGGAAGGGAAGGTAGGGACCCCTGATCCCTTGGGTCAGGAGGCTTGGAGACCTCTTCCCCTTCTGTAGAACAGACACTCCCAGATCAGCCTTCTGCAGCCCAGGACTCAGCCTGTGAGTGAAATGGATGGGAACAGAACACCACTGGAGGGTGGGGTAACCAAGGGATGTGGTCACAGCCAGGGGCCAGGAACACTGTGCCCCAGAATAACAAAGGAGGCCCCAAAGCAAAAGAGAAGCCAAGGAGGTACCAAGAAAGGTTAGCAGAGTAACAAAGCTAACATCATAGTAACAAAGGGGACAGATAGCAAAGGAAGTGGATAAAAGCAACAGAATAAAGGCAGCAGGGAACCACTCGGAAGGGAGAGCAGGAGTGAGTGAGAGGGAACAGGGTGAGTACGGAGCACCTGGGGTGACAGAGGTGAAGAAAGGTGACCCAGCAGCTCTCTGGCCAAACTCTCCCAGGCCTCTTCCTTCAGCCGCACTGTGCGGAGGTGCAAGAAGAGAGAGTCCAGGCAGCAAAGGGAAGGGAGAAGCCTGGGCAGCGGCCCGGAAGTGTGCACTGAAAGGTGTTTGGGCTGGAAGCTGTTTGGGTCGCTGGGGATGGGCTGGGGGAGGTGAGCACGAGGCCAGCAGCAGGCGGGAAGGCGGACAGGTTGCAGGTGAGCAGAGGTCTGGGTGACCCCCACCCCCTCACGCTCCTGTGCTCACCCCACTCCAGCCATCCTGGTCCGCTGGGATGCGACAGAGGGAGAGGAAGTATGTCAGATCTTCCAGTCCTTCCCTCCCCTAGGTCCACCTGGTGTAGGATTGTCCTGTGCTCCTGTCTGGGGGGAGGGGGTTTCCTCTGACCTTTGAACCTACCTCCCTGCGGAGATGGGGCAGAGCCTGGGTCTGGGCAGAGACTCTTTTGGTGTGACCGTGAGCAGAGGCCTTGTCTCCTGAGGGAGGGCCGGAGCCCCCTCCCTAATAGGCATTAAGGGCCTCGCGCGATGACCAGGCGTCGCTTACGACCCTTTCCTTTAGACTTCGCCAGGCCTCTCTTCAGAGCCCCATATTGGAGCAGGCGGGACCAGCACAACGGGAAGAGAGATGAGAACAAGAGACCCACAGATGAGAGGGAGAGAGAATTGGAGAGGCTTCGAGGATCGAAGAGTGCGGAAGTGCATAAGGCCCGTGGTCAAGGACTCCCAGGTGGACTGCCCCGCCCACCCAGGGATGGCCCCGCCTACCTCCTCCCATCGCCAGAGGAGCGGAGTGCGACTGTAGCCCGGGAGAGCAGCCGCGCAGCGCTTCCTGCCGGCGATGAGTGGGATTACATCGTCCGGGGAGCTGCCCAAGGTTCCACCTCTCTGTCTCTGACTGGTCCAGCCCTGCCGAGTGGGGGATTGGAGTGACACCTGCGCCCTAGGGCTGCTTGCACTGCAGGAGCATAGGGGCGCCATGGGGGTGGTAGCAGAGAAGCTGGGCCTCTGCTGAGCTCCTAACAGGCTCTGCTTTCTCGTCTTGAATCTGGCACCAACCTCTCTGGACTGGGGTATCTTCAGGCACCATGAAATCTAGCCCCTCACCGAGTGTTCCAGCACTTGTGACCAAACATTTGCAGGCCACTTGGTGCCAGGCCCTGGCGAGCACTGGGGAAACATCACTGAGACCCAGGGAAACAGATTTGTGTACCTTGGCAAGGGAAGCCCAGGGCTGGGGCAGCCTCCAGGAGGGGCATTTAACCTGGCCTGGGGCCCTGGAGTCCTCAGGCAGGGTGAACCACAGGGCTGTTCTGGAATCTGCCTAGAGTTCCTGCAGGCTGTGTGGGGAAGGGGAGGGAGGAATGAGACTGTGGAACAGGGCCTGGCCTCAGAGCATGGATTTCATTGCATGGGTGGTGGGAGCCCTTGAGGTGTTGTGGACTGGGGGTGACAAGGTCAGGACACCCATGTTTTGAAAGGCCAAGTTCAGTGAGGAGCAGGGGCGAGAGCACTGGTGGAGTTGGGGGAGAGGAGGTTGACCTCAGTGGTCTGTGACTTCCCCCAGCGCAGATCCTAGAAGAAAAAAATACTGAGTGGAATCAGAGTAAATAAATTCTGGAGTCCGTAAGAATTGGAAGGGTGGAGTAAAACAGAGTACCCATATTAGCAGACCATGTGGAAGAGAGATGCACCCAGGAGGTGAGAGGAAATTGCCAGTGGGAAGAGGCCTCCAGAGGGTGCTTCCAGAGGCCAAGGAGGTTAGTGTGGGAGCTGGCTCCATGTGGGCACCCCAAAACCAAGAGCTAGACAGACGTGAGGCCACCCCTCCCCTGTCCTTGCTGGGTGCCCCAAGGGCAGCCTTGCCACATGGCCAAGGGAGGACTAGAAGGGCAGACAGCATCAGGGCACAGTGACCAGGCAGTTCGAGGTCCAGGACAGTTGTGGGAGTCGGAGACCACACTGAAGAGGGTTGAAGGGGGAGCAGAAGGGTGGAGTGAGGGGGGCACTGGAAGGGGACCCAGGTGTCCTTGCTATTCAAGATGGCAGAGCACATTTATATGGGGGGACTGGAGATAATAACTGGAAATGCAGAAGGGGATAAGAAGTGGAGGGGTTCCTGAGGAGGAAAGGGGGTCTCAGGTGGAGGGACCCTTCCTCCCTAGGGAGAGATCACGGCCATGGCGATGAAGAAGGGGGCCAGGTGTTTCCCACTTTGTCTCTGGAAGCCCTTGGCTGAGGGGAGGGAGGGGTTCCAAGGAGATCCGGGTTTGAAATGAATTCTGGGAGATGGGGAAAAGACTGGATGGGCTGCCAGGTCTTAAGGTCCCACCCCCTTGGGGAGGACATTCTCCCCATGCTGGCCAGGGGGCATAGTGAGGGGACCTCCTGTGGGCCTCCTAGGAGGCTGGAGTGGGGGCTCCAGCTCAGCGCGGAGGGTGTGAGCTACTGCTCTCCTCCTGCACACCTTGGTAAGTGGCAGCAGGACCCAGCGTCTGACTGCCCTCCCCCACCGTGGGATACCCCTCCCCTCCTGGGGGACCCTGGGACCTGGTCTAATGACCTCACACCCTAACAGGAGGGGCAGCACTGGCAGAGAAGGGAGAAGGGGACCCAGCCCCCAGCAGAGTCAGCCTCCGTCCCCCATTCTGCCCCGCAAGGACACACAGATCTCGGCTGTTGAGGGGAGCTTGCCCGGGCCAGCTGGAGGGCTCCTGACATTTGCCAGGGCGTGGGCGCGGCTGTTTGCGCCCCGAAGCTAGATGTAAAGTACACATCGCGGAGGAAAAGGGTCAAACACCGGGGCGCGGCAACTAGGCAGGTTTTATTGACCAGATGGCCGGCCTGCTGGCAGAAGACATTCCGCCTGCGTCAGGCGTGGGGGCGTGGGCAGGGGCTGCGATCAGGACGGCTCTGGGGAGAGGCGGGGGCTGGCGAAGGCGGTTCCCTGCGCAGACCATGACTGAGCAGGAGACACTCCGAAGGCTCTGGAAAGAACAGAGAGGACCGTGGGAAGAGGGTTGTGCGACCTCCACTACCGCTCCCCCGACTCCCCAGGCTGGAAGAGTAGGGACTGCCCCAGGAAAGCCTTCCTCTACTGGGAGTCGGGGATGGAAAGGTTGTAGGGTGCCCTGTGGGCAGGCAGACGTGCGCTCCGGTCTCAGATCTCCCGAGACACCCTCGTCCACTGCTGTCCCCGTCCCCTTCCTCTCCCCGCGTACCTGGCCCGCTCTTCAGAGGTCCAGGAGTAGGATCCCAGCCGCAGCTCCGGTTGGGGCGCGGACTTCGGGGCGCGCGGGCTGCGAGGCGCACTCACCGGGAGCCCTGCGCGGGAGCTGCTGCGTCGCACCTCCCACAGTTTCTGAACTCCGGAGGGAAGCAACAGAGCATCGCGGGCGGCGGGCCCCCCAGAGACGGTGCTTCTGGCAGATGGCCCCTGGGGGGACACGCCCAGGCCGAAGCCGTCCCAGGCAAGGGGCCCGGCAGCCGGGCGCAGTGCGCGGCGCCACACGTAGGGCGAGCGGCGCAGCCCCATTAGCAGGCCCGCGGCGCGGCCCACCGTGTGGTAACGGGGACTCGACACGTGCTTGTACCAGGCGGCGGCGGGCAGCGGCAGCAGCAACAGCAGCAACAGCAATGCGATCAGCCAGCGGCTCGCAGTGGGCCCCGGCCCGGGGCTCCGCACCCCCGTGCCCCGCGCCAGGGTGCTCACGTTGACCGCCGCCCGGAGGGCGGACCAGAAACTGGCTCAGTCGTGTCTGGGCGCGCAGTGTCGGGAAGCTGGAGTGCGGGAGGCTACAGGCTAGGAGTTGGTGCGGGTGGGTCCAGCTATAACTGCTCGGTGGCCCCGCCCCTGCTCGCCCCCGCGGTACCTGAGGGGCTCCCCAAGGGTAGGGGGAGGGATGAAGTGAGAGGAGGAGCCCAGGCTGCGAGGCGGGGACGTGTGTTACTGAAGCACCCTCGCTGAGTGGGCCTCTATGTAGAATTAATCTTGACGCTCTGCTTGGGGCTCCCCTGCTCCCCTCTCTTAGCCCCCCTCTGCCTCTTCCCCCCAAAGAGAGGAACTTCCAGGCATAGGGATGGGGGGACAGGATGTTCCCTGAGCCAGAGCTCTTGCAGGTGGGGCACAAGCAGAGCAAAGACAGGGAGGCCGGCAGAGCCCTACTGGGGTAAAGCAGGAGAGCTGATTGGTGGGGGCCCTCTGCACCACTCAAGACCCCTCTGTGTATGTTCCCCCTGGAGGGTTGTTCCCTGTCCTCGCCTAACACAGCTATCAAATCTGTTCCCACACCCATTCCTCTCCTCCCTAACCCCTAGCTTCTCCCCAACAACCCACTTCCCAGCTGCAGCTGGATGGATGCTTGCAACTGCAAGTTTGGCCGCATCAAACCCTCTCTGAAACAGTGGTTAGGTTAGGCTCCCAGAATAAAGAGTCAGCCCCTCATACTGCCTGGGAAGGATAAGCTCTGCAGTCTTCCAGCCTCCTCTTTGGTTATGATCCCCCCCAAAACCACTTTCTCTGGCCAGGGCAGTCTCAATTCACTTGCCATACCCAACAACCCATGAGTTTGCCCACCTCTGTGCTTCTGTGCCTGGGACATTCCATCCTTTTCAATCTGGCAAACTCCTACTCATCCTTCAGGATCCTGCTTAGATAGCCCTTCTCTGAATAGTCTCCCAGAGTATCCCTCTGTGCCTGCCTGGGCTTAATAGCCCCCTTCCAGAGGACAGGGCCTGACCCATTCTTGCCTGAGTCCTAAACCAGGGAGGATGCAGCCCTCAAAATAATCACACCTCACCCCACCCCCCAGCAACCACACCACTCACGGGGCACCTTCTAGATCCCAGACACCAAGGATCCTGAAATATCTTATTTTGATCTCCAAACAATGCCACAACGTGGGACAATTATTGATTCCATCTACCAATGAAGAAACTAAGGCATGGGGAAAATTAACTTGTTCCAGGTCACCTGTTGGGTAAGCACTAGGGGGAGTGGGGCCCAACCTAGACCCCCAGCCTGAGAGTTCCAGTTTGGGGACCCCAGCTGCAGTGCTCAATGGAAACCTCCCATCCCCCTCCGCCTGTCTCTTCAGCAAAAAGGAGGGGTGACCCCGGGGGCATGGGGGAACACAGTCTGAGTCTGTCCTTCCTCTCAGACCTGCATGTTGGAAGAGGAACAGAGGGGCTGAGGGGTGCCGAGGACGGTGTCTGCTTCTGAGGCATGAGGGGCAGAGAGATTCTGGTAATCCCCTGGGGAGCTCTAGAAGCAGCAGCAGCAGCAGCAGCTCTCCCCACAAAGGCCCTGCAGAGCTGCTGAGAAATGTGTCCTGGAGCCCAGTGACCCAGGCTTGATGGTGGTGGGGGGGGGAGGGGTAAGTGCCTCAACCTCTTCTGCCTCAGTTTCCTCATTTGTAAACTGGGGATAATCCCGGTCAGCTTGCTGTGAGTATTAAGAATACAGGCTGGGACTTCCCTAATGGTGCAGTGATTAAGAATCTGCCTGCCAATGCAGGGGACACGGATTCGATCCCTGGTCCGGGAAGATCCCACATGCCGCAGAGCAACTGAGCCCGTGCCCCACAACTACTGAGCCTGTGCTCTACAGCCTGTGAGTCACAACTACTGAGCCCATGAGCCACAACTACTGAAGCCTGAGCGCCTAGAGCCCATGCTCTACAATGAGAGAAACCACCGCAATGAGAAGCCCGCGCACCACAACGCCCCACTCACCAACTAGAGAAAGCCTGCACTCAGCAACAAATATCCAATGCAGCCAAAAATAAAAATATAATAAAATAATTTTTTTTAAAAAAGAAAAGAAATCCAGGCTGGGGGACTTCCCTGGTGGTCCAGTGGGTAAGACTCCACGCTCCCAATGCAGGGAGCCTAGGTTCAGTCTCTGATCAGGGAACTAGATCCCACATGCATGCCACAACTAAGAAGTCCGCATGCGAAACTAAGACCTGGCGCAGCCTAAATAAATAAATAAATATTAAAAAAAAAAAATCCAGGCTGGGCCTTGACATCTTGACACTGTGCCTGGCACACAGTAGGCGCTCTATAAATGGCGTGGCTACCATCTAATTGCTGTTGCTGTTGCTGTTCTAGCGGCTGCCTAGTCCCCTAAATTGTCAGAGAAATCCCTTTGATGGAGGGGTGACAGCGCTGGGACCAGGCAGGGAGGGGGTACAGAGGAAGCCACCTGCGTACCTGGAAGGGCCTGGAGGACCGAAGGGACCAGTGGGCCGAGTGGAAAGCTGCCCCTCCCACCTCTGCCTCACTCTTCTGGGGCCCCTCCACCTTGAGAGCTGCCTAGAGTGCTTGGTGGGCGGGCAGTGTGGCACAAGCGGGCTGCCAGGGTCCCCTGGCACTGCTGCCCCCTCCCTAATAAGGGGATGCAGAGGACTGCAGCCTGGGCAGACAGGGAGCTTCTGCAGGGAGAATGTCATCGATGTGAAATCTGATCAATCATGGCCTATGCTGTAACGGACGTTTCTGCGCAGTTGGAAAATTTAAGAGAACTACAATTAGCAGCATGGTAAATCTGAAAACACAACGTTGAGCAAAGAAAAAAATGCTCTGCACAATGATACGTTTGGTGTCTGAAGTTTAAATACCAGCAATCCCTCCCGCTTGTTTATGACTGTGAACCAGAGAGAGTGAAAATGTCAGGGTGCAGGTGAAGGATGAAGGCCACATTAGGACAGAGCAGGGCGGCTGCCTGTCAGCTGGAGGTGTGTGGAAGGCAGGCAGGCAGGGAGCCCAGGGCTGGGTAAGGGAGAAAAGCACAGAACAACTTGATGGTCCCTGGTGGCTCCTAGTTTGGGGTGCTCAGGAAGAGGGGCTCTGTGCTTTACCTAGCCCTGACCCCAGGGGCCCAGGGACAAATGTCTCTGCCAGCCCTCCCCCATCCAGGACTCTGGAGCCAAAGTCTATTGCCAGAGGAGGTAGTGGCCCTAATGGTCCATAAGAGCTGCCTTGTCTTTCTGGGGCTCACCACTCCTTTCATCCACACACAGCCCCTTCTAGAAGCTGACTGATCATGGCTTCTGACTATTTGCACACCACCTCCCCTGACACTGGACCAAGCCCTCCAGAGACTGGGACCATGTCTGCCTCATACTCACGGCCCCCATCCCAGGCACAGAGCCTGGCTGCCAACAGGAACCCCATCCTAATGACACAGTAAATGAGGAAATCTCTCCGTTTTGTCATTTTAAAAATTATTATATTTTATAATATCAAGGTCATATACGTTATAAGTCAAATGCTAGTATAAGGGACAAAATAAAGCTGTCTCTGTTCCACCCTTTCACATCCCCATCCTGCCCTCCAGGGGCAACTACTTCCAACTCTTTCAGCTATTTTTCCTAGTATTTGCCTCCATATTTTGAAGTCATAAACTTAACTGCTACTCTAAAAATGGGTGGTCTTTTTAAGGAGGTATAAGATACTTTGAGTAAAGTGTGCACATCTTAACAATTGCATTTGTTACATATGCCTACACTTGTGTGCCCACAGCCCAGATCAAGGTAGAAAAGATTTCAGCTCCCTAGGGGGCTCCTTTACGCCACTTCCTAGCCAGAAGCCCCAGAATAACTCATCTATCACCTCAGATCGGAATTTTCTCAACCTCAGCATGGTTGGCATTTGTGAGGCTGTTCTGGCATGGTAGGATGTTGAGCAGCATCCCTGGCCTTTACTCATTTGTGTAGGCAGCAAAATAGCCCCTCCCCAAAGACATCTATGCCCTAATCCCTGGAACCTGTGAATATTTACTTTACATGGTAAAGGGGAATTAAAGTTGCAGATAAAATTGAGGATGCTAATCCACTGAATTTAATATAAGCAAAGCACCCTGAATTATCCAGGTGAGCCCAATGTAATCTCAAGGGTTCTTTAGCGTGGAGGAGGGAGGAAGAGTCAGAGAAGGAATGGTGACAATGGAAACAGAGGGTGAAGTGATGTGCTTTGCAGAAGGAGGAAGGGCCACGAGCCATGGGATGCAGGCTCCCCCTAGAAGCTGGAAAAGCCAAGGAAATGGATTCTCCTCTAGAGCCTCCAGGAGGAATGCAGCCCACCTTCACCTTGATTTTATCCCAGTGAGATCCATTTTGAATTCCTGAATTCCAGAACTGTAATCTAATGAATTTGGGTTGTTTTAAGCCATTGTTTGTTGTAATTTTTTTACAGCAACAATAGGAAACTAATGCATCAGTAGATGTCAGTAACAATCCCACCCCACTGTGACAACCAAAAATGTCTCCAGACATTTCCACGTCTCCTTGAGGCCAAAATCACTTCCAATTGAGAAACACTAACTGAGATTATAAACTGCTGCTTTTAAATTTACCTTTTTTTTTAGGCATCAAACGGCTTCCTCCTAATTTATTAAATTTATTTATTTATTTTTGGCTACGTTGTGTCTTCATTGCTGCGCGCGGGCTTTTCTCTAGTTGCAGAGAGCAGGGGCTACTCTTCATTGTGGTGTGCAGGCTTCTCATTGCGGTGGCTTCTCTTTGTTGTGGAGCACGGGCTCTAGGCGCGTGGGCTCAGTAGTTGTGGCTCATGGGCTGTAGAGCACAGCCTCAGTAGTTGTGGCACAGGGGCTCCGCAGCATGTGGTATTTTCCTGGACCAGGGCTTGAACCTGTGTCCCCTGCACTGGCAGGCGGATTCTTAACCAATGCGCCACCAGGGAAGTCCCATGGCTTCCTCCTAATTTAGATGAAGCTTTGGCTCTCTCCCACCCCAGTCACCTCACTTCTCATCTCTCCATCCTCCCAATATGATTTTATCATAATTTTTGGTTGACACTAGTCAGCATTTGTATTATTCTGACCATGTAAATATTACTCTCTGCTGAGCCAAGTAGTGTACTATAATTACATTTTTTTCTTGTTGATAGCTGTCTTATTATCTTTCTTTCCTTGTTTTTCTATATTCTTAGTTTGTTATTTCCCCCCAAATGCTCCAAGGAGCTCCAAGCTCCTTGCAATAAATTTTCCTGATTCTCAAGCACACAAGGAGATCACCCACCATCAGTTCCTTATTTACTCTGGAAATCTCCCTCTGGGAGCCCTTGGCCTCCTGCTCCAATCTGGACATCCACTCTCTAAGCCTCTGCACAGGCATCATTTGAATGGGGACATGGGAGCTAAATACTTTGTCCTTTTTATGTTGATGGCTTTATGCGTTGATGGAAAGTTATTCTAGGTGTATAATTTGTGGATGGAAATCATATTCCTTCAGAAATTGGAGAGAATTTCTAGCTTCCAGTGTCCCAGGATTGTAAGTCTGATTCTCAATCCATCATGCAGGTTTTTCTCCCTCCTTACCCCCTCCCTCCTGAAGCTCTCAGGCCCTTTGCTTTATCTGTAGTACTCTGGTATTCCATGATGATGTCCCTCACTGAGGGTCTTTTTTACTTGATTGGGTCCTTTAAACGTGGAGACTCATGTCCTTCAGCTCTGGCATATCTTGCCTTATTGGCTCTTTGATAATTTGCGCCTCTCCATTTTCTCTGTTCTCTCTGAAATTCCTATTAGTTAGATACTACACTGTCTGGATTCAGACTTCTATCTTCTTATTTTCTCTGTTTTCTATCTAGTTGTCTTGTTCTGCTTGCTGAGAGACTTCCTCAACTTTATCTTCCCACTTTGCTCTTGAACTTTTAGTTGTTGTTAGTTTTGTTTTGTTGGACGCGCCATGTGGCATGTGAGGTCTTAGTTCCCCGATGAGGGATCAAACCCATGCCCCCTGCATTGGGAGTGCAGGGTCTTAACCCCTGGACCACCAGGGAAGTCCCTGTTGTTATGTTTTTAATTTTTAATTTCTAAGGGCTCTTTCTTGTTCTCTGCTTTGTGGTTGTTATGGTTGTTCAAGGCATCCTAGTCTCATTTCATGGAAGGAATATCTTTCTTGTGAATATCATATATATATATATATAATATATATGTATATAAATTATATATATAAGTAATATATATAAATTATACATATATGTATATATGTGTGTGTGTGTATGTATATATATATATATATATATATATATATATATCTCCTTGGAGGGAGGAACATCTCTTGAATCTTTCTCCTCCTTTTTTTTTGCCGTAGGCGGGCCTCTCACTGTTGTGGCCTCTCTCCTTGCAGAGCACAGGCTCTGGACGCGCAGGCTCAGCATGGCTCACACGCCCAGCCGCTCCGCGGCATGTGGGATCTTCCCAGACCGGGGCACGAACCCGTGTCACCTGCATCGGCAGGAGGACTCTCAACCACTGCACCACCAGGGAAGCCCTCTTTCTCCTCCTTTTAATCTCCACTGCCACTATCCAAGTTCAGATTTTCCCCTCCTATTCTGGGATTGCTTCTGTGGCTTATATATATATATATATAAATATATATATAGATATATATGTTTATGATCTGTCTAAAATTTCCTTCTGATCTCTGGGTCTGCTTGTTTTCATCCCTGTATCACACACTGCAGGCTTTCCTCATGAGTCTGGAGATCATTTGTTGCCTGTGCACAGTTGTGAGTGAGACCCTGCAACACTGGTTGGCTGCTCCTTTTTTGGGGGGCATGGCTTGCTGAGTGTGGGCTTCACTGTAGGGCAGCTGGACAGCAGGACAGCTTTTCTTTCTTTTTTTTTTTTTTTTGACTTAAAACATTAGGTGTTTATTTTTCTCAAGTAACAAGTCTTGAAGATATTAAAACATTTTCCCTTCAGCGTTATCACATATCTTCTAAGGGATAATGAATGAATAAACGATTTCTCACAATCATTGTATAACTTAGGTTTCTTCCATATATGCATTACTTAGAGGCTTTCTCACATTCTTCACAACCAGTTCTTTTCACTTACCATTTGGTTGTATGTCTTAAAGATTGAGAGTTCACTGAAAGCTACTTTACATGGATATCATTAAAAGGGGGTTTACTGAGCATGAGTTCTCTCATGACACCAAAGGGGTAAGGATTTACTGAAACATTGCCTGCAGACATTGCATTTATAGGGTTTTTCTCCAGTATGTATTCTTTTGTGTGCAATGAGATTACACTTTACACTAACGGATTTTCCACATTGATTACACTCATAGAGTTTCTCTTCCATGTGAGTTCTCATGTGTATTGTTAGGGACACATGCCTGCTAAAAGCTTTTCCATGCTCACTGCACTTAAAAGGTTTCTTGTCCCTGGTATGGATTTTCATATGCCTCCTATGAGATAAGAGACCACGGAATGTTTTCCCACATTCCTTACATTCATGTTTCATTTTCATGTGAATTTTCTTGTGTAAAACGAGGAAAGATTTCACTCTGAAGGCTTTTCCACATCGATTACATGTAAAGGGTTTTTCTCCAGTGTGAATTCTCACATGTTCTTTAAGGCATGAACTATCCCTGAAGGTTTTCCCACAGTCATTGTACTTACAGGGTTTCTCTCCAGTATGAATTTTCTTGTGCCTGATAAAGTTGGAGCTCAGCCTAAAAGCTTTCCCACATTGATCACACTTGTAAGGTTTCTCTCCAGTATGTATCCGCAGGTGTATCTTAAGAGATGACTTACTACTTAGGGCTTTACCACAATGGCTACATTCAATGGATTTCTCTCCAGTGTGGATTGCCTTATGTCTTTTAAAATATGGGAGGATACTGAAGGTTTTCCCACAATCACTGCACATATAGGGTTTCTCTCCAGTATGTGTTATCTGGTTATGGTAAGCCTACAGCTTCTACTGAAGGTTTTGCTGCATTGATTACATTTGTAGGCTTTTTCTCTTGAATGAGTCCCTGAATGTTGTCTGAGAAGTGAGCTATCTCGGAAGGTTTTTCCACAGTCATGGCATTCATAGGGCTTCTCTCTAGTATGAATTCTCTTGTGATGTGTAAGGTAAGAGCTTGAGCTATAGGCTTTCCCACACTGATCACACTTAAATGGTTTTTCTCCAGTGTAGGTTCTCATGTGCAACTTAATGGATGAATGGCTCTGTAATACTTTACCACACTGATTACACTCAAAAGGTTTCTCTCTAATGTGAGTTTTTTCATCCTTCTTAAGGTGTGAGATTGAATTTAAGACTTTCCCCCAGTCACTGCATTCATAGGATGTCTCTTCTGTATGTTGTCTCTTAAACCCAGCTAAGTTAGAACTCCTGAGGAAGGCATTTTCATCTTTTTTACATTCATAAGATTTTTCCCGAGGAAGAATTCCCTCAGGTGGCTTAAGATGTGAAGAATCTCTAAGGACTTTTGCAGAGTCAAGGTATCGATGGAGTTTCTTGCTAGGGTAAATTTTACTGTGAGTAATGCTAGATTTCACACTCAAGGCTTCAACAATTTCACTGCATTGAATGGGATTGCCTCCAAGAGTTTGTTCCTTCTTGCCATTGAGTGTATATTTCTCCAAAATACCTTGTTTTTGCTGTGGTTGTTTGGCTTTAAGGAGAATCAGCTCATCTGAACAGGTATCTTGATGAATTCTTCTCTCTACTGTCTCCATTTCATCTTCCTGCTCCATCTGGGTGATGAGAGGAGGTTTGCTGAGTTGATGTCTCAGTGAAGCCAAGTTTCTATAGTTCTCCAGCATCACATCTCTGTCCCCTGCAGTGGAAGGGCATAGTCTTTTTTTTAATTAATTAATTTATTTTTGTCTGCGTTGGGTCTGCGTTGCTGCGCGCAGGCTTTCTCTAGCTGTGGTGAGCGGGGGCTACTCTTTGTTGCGGTGTGCGGGCTTCTCATTGTGGTGGCTTGTCTTGTTGCAGAGCACGGGCTCTAGGCGCACGGGCTTCAGTAGTTGTGGCACGCGGGCTCAGTAGTTGTGGCTCACGGGCTCTAGAGTGCAGGCTCAGTAGTTGTGGTGCATGGGCTTAGTTGCTCCGTGGCATGTGGGATCTTCCCGGAACAGGGCTCGAACCTGTGTCCCCTGCATTGGCAGGCAAATTCTCAACCACTGAGCCACCAGGGAAGCCCAAGGGCATAGTCTTAACCACTGGTCAGCCAGGGAAGTCCTCCAGCCCATTTCTGATTCTAAAGTCCAAGCTCATCCGCTCACAACACACTGCCTCTTTTCTGGAAGGGTTCAGATCCGGAGTAGCCTCCTGTGATAGCAGAAGGGAGGTCCTGAGTGTGCCTGGCCCCCAAGGGTAATGAGGAGGCCCCCCAACAGCTGCAGAGACCCAAAGCCCCAGGATTCACAACCGTCCAATCAGCAAACCTGCCCTGATGTTTCTCTGCGTCAAGCCTCCGGGCTCAGCTGGGTGGGCCCAGCCATGAAGAGGACAGGTTCTCTACCCGCCTTTCTATCGGGACTGGGGGAGACCGCTCCTAGTTCAGAGACTGATGTCACCACGTGTTGTCTTTTCTGATAGGGATTGTGTTTGTGAGTGCGCAAGCGCGTGTGTGTGCCCTATGACCACGCCCGTGTGTGTCCCAAATTCAAAAGAAAGATCTGGGTTGGAAAGAGATTTTGAGCTCCTAATAGGGTTGCAAAATATTTAGCAAATAAAAATACAGGACTTCTAGTTAAATTTGAATTTCAGATGAACAACGAGTAACACTTTAGTATAAGTATGACCCATCAATATTTGGAGCATTAAACATTTTGCTCTGGGAGGACAGAGCTGGCCCAAGACTAAGGTCAGAGGAGAGGAGGGCCTGATGCCCGCAGCCCGGCGCCGGACCTGCGGCTGACCTACAACCTGCCCACTCCGCCTAGAGCGCCCGGTGCCGGTGGCGCCGCTCTAGCCGGCGCCTCGCTGAGGCGGAAGTCGTGAGCGCACTTCCGCCAGGTGGGGCCGTTGCTGGGCGGGGCGGTGACGTCGCCCCGGAAGGGGCGGGCCCGCTGGGAGCCAGTCCGTCCCGCGCCGCGCCGCGCCGGCCGGGAGGGGGCCGGATCCCGGACCATGGCGGCGGCGGCGGCCCCGGAGGGGAGGCGCGCGGCCCTGGAGGCGGCGGTGGCGGCACCTGAGCGGGGCGGCGGGAGCTGCGTGCTGTGCTGCGGGGACCTGGAGGCCACGGCGCTGGGCCGCTGCGACCACCCGGTGTGCTATCGCTGCTCCACCAAGATGCGGGTGCTGTGCGAGCAGCGCTACTGCGCCGTGTGCCGCGAGGAGCTGCGCCAGGTGAGCTGCGCTGGCAGGGCCGCGTGTCGGGGCAACTGGGCGGGAGCGGGGGCGCGGCCGGGCGGGGCGGCTGGTCACCCGGAGGCCGGAAGGGGACTTTGCCTTCCTGGTATCCGGCTGCAGGCCTAGTGGCGCCGGCTTCCAAAAGAGAGGCCTGGCGGGGCCACCCGGGGCGGGGTCCCCATCGTGGGGCCGACTGTGGGGCGTGTGGGGGCGGGAGGCAGGAGGTGGCCGAGCTGATTTGAAGAGGCAGCGGTCCTTGTGGGGACAGAGTCTGGGGGCTTTCCTCCTGAGCCCCGGGAATTCCTGCCGGGCCACAGGAGGGGCATGATCAGAGCAGGAGCTCCTAGACCTGCTCGTCTTGGGAGATTATTCATCAGAGGTCTCCATTCCGGTGGAGGCAACAGGGAAAGTGGGCACCTTCAGTGGCAATCTGTCCTGGAAGCAGAGGGTCAATCTGGGCATTTCCAGCCTAGCTGTGTTTCTGGGCCTTTCTGGGTGACGCTGAGCAAACTCCTTCTGAGAATGGCATTTCTATCTATTAAGTGATGGTTGTACTCACCATCACCACCAGAGGGGAAGGCAGAACCACTGAGGTCTCCTCAGGGTGCTTGGTGGATGGGGATAAAAGTGTTGCGAAGTTTTCCTCCTTGCCGGTTCCACCTGGTGGCGGTGGCGTGGCGGGGGGGCGGGGTGGGGCTCAGCTCCAGAGTGGAGGAGAGGGAGTTTCTGATTGTCCAGACTTGGAAGCCCTAGTGAGGTCAGAGGGCTCCACGGAGCTTTCTCCCACCCTCCCCGCAATGCCAGCTGCTGGCTGGGAGCACCTAGCTGGAGCTCCCTTGGTTTGCTGTGCTTTGAGATATGTTTGCTTCCAGAGTTGTGAAACGAAAGGAAACGACATCCTTTCTTCACTTTCTTTTTTAAAAGTAGACTTTTATGTTAAAGGAGCCAAGAAAATGCTGTAATCCCATGAGCACTCTGTGGGCACCTACTCTGTGCCCTATCTGAAAAAGACACTTGGAGATGCTGTCAGTCTGTAATGGGGTGGACAGAGATGCACCCGGACCTGGGAGGGATCTGGGGTGCAGGAGCAGTTGGGGAAACCTTGGGTCTGTGACTTAGTCAGAAGGCACCTCCCAACTTCACCAGAGCCTGCCTTGCCTTCCAGTCTTGCATAACGTGATGTAACTCTTGAATGGCCAGGTTTCCCAGCACACCTGTAGCTTCCTTCCAGGCAGGCAGGCAGGCAGGCAGGCACGTGCAGCGGAGGCCCCGGCCTTGGGCACTGCAGGTCTCACTGAGGAAGTAAGCAGACACCTATATATGGGTGTTGTAGCTAGCATCTGGCCTCTCTCATACCTTGTGGGTCCCATACCCTTCAAGGACTCTGTGGCAAGGGGGTGTGGACATGAGCTTTCAGCTGGCTCCAGCTGGGGTGTGGTTTGGCATCAGGTGCCCTGGCCAAGTCTGGCCTTCCTCTCAGGCCTGCTCCTAGTTGCTAGGTAGCAGGAGGGTGTTCTGGGAAGTTTGGGAAGATGATGCTCCTCTCCATTCATCCTGTTTGCGTCTCACTCTTGAACTCTGAACGCCCCTGTATCCCTTCTGTTCCCTTGCTGAGTCCTGCACTGTCCTCTGAATACGTCCTGTGTCCCATGCCTGCTCGGAAATCCCACAGCGGCCCCAAACCCCTGAACCCTGCCTCTCCTCTGTCTCTTTTATGGGACTAAGTCTTTGTAAAAAATTGGGAGGAAAGTGTGCCAAAATGCTTTTTGCGACAGGCCAGCTCCGTTTGCTAGTTAATTCCTACATCTTGACCTGGTGCCTCCCTGTGCCGGCCTGGGTGAGGAGCCAGATCAGTTAGATTGCCCGGCACTTGCTCAGGGTGGAGGCCGAGGCAGGCTCCCAGCTGATGGGTAGCAGCAGCGCTGGTCTTGAGGGCACACTGGCTGAGACTGTTGTCAAGTCCTGGGTTCCTGTCTTCCCTGGTTGTATCTTTCCCCCAGGCCACTTTCTTCTAAAAGACAATTCTTGTCTTACTTTCCACCTTGCTCTGATCCCCGGTGATGTTGAAGAGGCTTGATGGGGCTGCTGTACAAAGTGGGATGTGTCTGAGCTAGGAGGGGCCCTGCAGGCCACCTGGTACAGCCCCACTGCCCCATTTCATAGGTAGGAATTGGGAGGGGAAGCTGAAGGCAGGTCAGGAGGCAGGACCTGCTGACTCAGGCCATGTACTTCTGTTGTCCCTGCCCCCTCTCCACGAACCTGGTCCTGGCCCGCCTCCTCTGAGAGGACCTGCTTGTCCACGTCTGGCTCCTTGGGTCCCTGTACTCTCCCCGTCCAGCCGCTCTCACACTGGTCGTTGCTGACACCCATCCCTGTCCTCTCACGCACTCATTCTCCGTGAGTGCTCGCTGCACGCTGGGAGTGGGGAGCAGCAAGGCCCCAGGCAGAAACCCCTGTGGTGGGGGAGTCTGAGGGGACTTTCGCCCCCATCTGCCTCTCCTCAGGACCTGATCTTGGGGCCCACCCAGAGGCACCCTTGCCCCGTTAGTCATTTACTACCTGGCCCACCCAGGGGCTGCCCAGGGCGGTCCCTCCTCAAGTATCTAGGCCTGGCCTGTACCTCTGTCCTTGGACCCATGATCCCCTCCCATCAGGGTGATCACCAGCGTGGGTGGGTCTTGGGCCACACTGGTTGGATCCCTAATGGGTTCCTGCCCATCCCTGGCCAGGCCAGCATACCCTCATCCTCCTCCATCCATGCAGTTTTGTGTCTCACCTCACCCTCTGCTGAGGGCAGGGACACTGGCCATTCCAGGCTGCACTGCCATCCCATCGTCTGGTGCAGGCCCGGGGGGCCCAGTCCTGGTCCCAGCCTGTCTGTGAGGGGCAGTTAGCATTTCCCCATCCCACCCCCCAGCTCCAAACCTGCTCACCCTCATTCTCAAATGAACACTTTCCTTTCCCAAGCCTCTTCTGTGGTTCCAATCTCTTCCTGAGCCAACCCAGTGTCCCCCTTCTGCCCTGGCTCAGCTGTGCCCAACCTGGGCTGCCCTACCAGACTGCTCGGGAGGGACAGACACCCCACCCAAGCTGACTGTCACTCAGTCCACGGCAAGGGTGCTCACAGCCCAAGGAGAGATACCACCTGTGGTGGATCAGAGCAGACCTCTGAAAGGAGGGTGACGGGGTGAGGGTGGGGCGCGGGCCCTCCTGGCACAGGTTTCTCTGGGAGGGAAGTTGTTCCTCTGCTGAGTCTGTCGAGCTTGGATGCTTGTTGGCAGTTTTGGGGCTCCCCTCGAGGCTGGGGTTATGGGCACCGAGTCCCGGTGGTTAATTCCTTGTTCTCTGTGCTCCTCCAGCAGCATCCTGAGTGGTTCATGGCCCTGCACCTGCAGGCGCCTATCCCCAGGCAGGAACTGGGGTCTGTGCTGGAAAGGTACCCTTGGGAGTGGTTGGAAGGCAGGGCTGGATGTGGGCTTGCTCTAGGAGGGCAGATCCCATGAGAAGAGGCCAGTGGAAGGCTCGAGGACCTTCCCCATGTCCCTTTGGGACTACGGAGAAAACTGGGGCAGAGGGTGCGGAGGGTGACCCTTTGGAGGCAGAGCCAAGACCTCCCTGTGAAGATGGGTCACAGGGTGCAGCTGGGATGAGGTGCGCTCAGCGTGTGGCGGGGGCAGGGGTGGGCAGCCACATTCATCCTGCCCAGCTTTGCCAGACATGGTGACAAGGGGAAGAAAAGCCTGTTGGGGCGCTGCCCATCCCTCCCACCCGCTCTGACCCTCCAGAATGGCTGTGGCTGGACCATGATGCTTCCATTGGGCTCCTGTGGGGGCGGGTGGGGGGCAGGCTTGGTTGTCAGCCTGCTCTCCACACCCCCAAGCATGTCCTCACAAGTAGAGGCTGAGCTCCCCATCTCCTTCTCCAGAGCCCCCAGGGAATCAGTTTTAACCACCCTGCTGTTGGGGATGGTGTAACCACCCACTCTCCCCAGCCAGTCCTACGCTTTCCCAAGTTCATGGCCACCCTGGCCCCAGACATCCTCCCTGACTGGGCCTAAACCTAGCAGGGGTGATCTTGATGTGGCCTTTACCAAGGAAAGGCTGTCCCCCTGGGTGTGCTGGTAAGGACTCTGAGCTGAGGCGAGTGGCCAGCTCCAGGCTGGGGGACAGTGGTGGATCGGAAAGGGGCACGGAGAGGAGGAGATGGGCCAGTGTGGTCTTGATGCAAGGGGGAGGGGACAGAGAGAAAGGGGGACTGGAGGATGAGGGAGCCCTGGAGGGAGCAGTGCCCTTGTTGACTCAGAGGGTAGGCCTGAGCCTGTGCGGGGGCCCTGGGGGCCAGGCTGGGGGCATTGGAACAGGGGTCTGGTCATCGTCCAGTGCCAGGGTCTGTGGAGAGGCAGAGCAGGCTGCTGGGCCAGGCTCAGCAGGCTTTACCTGAGAGTGCTGGAGAAGTGGCCAGGCTGCAGAGGTGTCCACGACCAGCACACTAGCTCCTCTGTTTGGCACCCCCAGACAGCCCAGTTAACAGGCAGGAAGCTGGCCAAGAACGGGCGGGGGCCATGACCGAGTCCTGTGGGGGAGCCCTTCTCCCCCTTTGCCATCATGGAAGCATCATGGGTGCGTGGAGGGTAGCCAGGCCTTGACGCATGCAATCTGGCCTGGTAGCATTCACTGTTTCCTTAGCTGCTCCTTGGACTGTGTCTCTCCTTTCTCCTGGTGAAAGTCATCCTGTGCCCAATACCCATGTGATTAAGCCCCGGTTTGCCTGGCTGTCTGAT